GGAAGGGGTGAGGGGTGAGGCCGGGGCCGGGCCGGGGCCGGGCGGGAAGGGGTGAGGGGTGAGGCCCGAGGCGGGAAGGGGTGAGGGGTGAGGCCTGAGGCGGGAAGGGGTGAGGGGTGAGGCCGAGGCCGGGCCGGGGCCGGGCGGGAAGGGGTGAGGGGTGAGGCCCGAGGCGGGAAGTGGTGAGGGGTGAGGCCGAGGCCCTGGCCGAGCGGGAAGGGGTGAGGGGTGAAGGGCAGGGCGGGCCCTGTCTCCCGCGCAGGGCCGCCTGGTGTGGATTTCTGGCTCCCGGTGCGGCCCCCCTGGCACGGCCTCTCTGCGACACCTGCCGTCTTGCCCGTCCGTCTCTGCCCGCAGGCGTGGGCTCCAGCTCCATGCCACTCTGGGACTTCCAAGGCAGCACCATGCTCACCAGCCAGTATGTGCGGCTGACCCCCGACGAGCGCAGCAAAGAGGGCTCCATTTGGAATCACCAGGTGAGAGGGCTTTTTTCCACGGCTGGGCACGCTCCTGTTCAGTGAGCTGCCCTCCACCCTACCCCCCCCCCCCCCCATCCGGATCTGAGCTTGCTTGTGTACACCTGTCCCCCCACCCTTCTCCATTCTTGATCACACTAGTAATGAGGTAAGTTATTGTTGTCAGGAGCTGGACTTGAGTTTGTAGTGTGTGTGTGTGTGTGTGTGTGTGTGTGTGTGTACATCCTGGACTTGAGTTTGTACCGTGTGTGTCCTGGGGCTTGAACTCAAGCCCTGGGCATTGTTCCGGAGCTTTTCCATTCAAGGTTGGCGCTCTACCACTTGAGCCACAACACCAATTAGTCAAAGATAAAGAGTTTCAGGAACTTCTCTTGGCTGGTGGCAAACGGTGATCCTCAGATCTCAGCATCCTGAGTAGCTAGCGTTACAGACATGAGCCACTAGTGTCAGACTTTTTACACTTTACTTATTTCTTTCTGTGTGTGGGAGGGAGGGGAGTGGGGGTGTTTGCTTGCACTGGAATTTGAACTCAGGGCTGTACACTTTTTTTTTTTTTTGGTCATGGGGCTTAAACTCTGGGCCTGGACGCTGTCCCTCAGCTCTTCAGCTCAAGGCTAGCGCTCTACCACTTCAGCCACAGCACCACATCCGGCTTTTTCTGCTTATGTGGTGCTGAGGAATCAAACCCAGGGCCTTGTGCATGCAAGGCTAGCGCTCTACCAGTAGAGCCACAGCTCCACTTCCGGCTTTTTTCTTTTTGCTTATGTGGTGCTGAGGAATTGAACCCAGGGCCTCAGGCATGCAAGGCAAGCATTCTACCACTGAGCCACCTTCCCAGCCCGTGGGCCGTACACTCTTAACTGGGTTTTTCTCATGGCTGCTCTACCACTTATGCCGCTCTTCTAGTTAAACTTTCTTCTGGCTAATTGGTGATGGGGTTTGGCAGACTCTTCTGTCCAGGCTGGCTTCGAGCCTCCTTTATCTGGATCTCATCAGCCTTCAGAGCAGCTAAGATTACAGGTGTGAGCCACTGTGTCCTGGCTCATTTAATTTCTTAAGAAGCCATACCAGGAAAGTGCTGTTGTCTCCATTTTGCTGAGAAGCTAAACCTTAGAGTTGAAAGTGCTCTTTTACCCAACATCACATAGCCAGAAAGTAGAGTCAAGACTATGTGAAGGGGCTGGGAAGGTGGCTCAGTGGAAGAGTGCTGGCCTAGCATGCATGAAGCCCTGGATTCAATTCCTCGGTACCACATACACAGAAAAGGCCAGAAGTGGCGCTGTGGCTCAAGTGGTAGAGCGCTAGCCTTAAGCAAAAGAGTCCAGGCCCAGGACTGGCCAAAAAAAAAAAAAGATTGTATGAAGAGAATCCTCTTTCTAGTGGGAAGAATGGAACAAACTGGATCTTTATTGTGTTCTTGGCTGTGTGTTAGGCACTGGCCTTATCATATCTTTTTTTTTTTTGGGTCCGGTCATGGGGCCTGAACTCTGGGCCTGGGCACTATCCCTCCGCTCTTCAGCTCAAGGCTAGTGCTCTACCCCTTGAGCCACAGCGCCACTTCCCGCTTTTTTCTTTTTGCTTATGTGGTGCTGAGGAATCGAACTCAGGGCCTCATGCATGCAAGGCAAGCACTCTACCACTGAGCCACCTTCCCAGCCCCGTACATGGCTTTTATGATAAGAGGCAGCTCTTCATTTGATATGCTTGCCTCTTCCATTGGACACTGGGGGAACCCCTTTGATGTACTTGCAGACTTAATCCCCTTCTCCAGTGCTTGGTTGAGGATTTGTCAACATACAGAGAGTCTAGAATTACGGGCAGCTTCAGAGTTCGGTGACACTTGCCTGCGTGTCGGGGAGCTTGAGTTGGCATGGTGCACGTGAGCAGTAGCCAGGATTAACTGCTGCACAGTGTCTGCACCAGGAAGTCCCCAACATGAAAGGAGTGAAAGGGAAGAGATCTTCGACTTGGTCACCATTGGCAAGGAACCTGCCTCTGCCTGACCCGGCCTAGCCCAGCCTCCATGGTTGGCCTAGTCAGTCTCCCTCCCTCTGCTCTCCTAGCCCGTCTGGCTGACTGTCTCGTGTGTCTCCAGAAGCCTGCATTACCTTCTGTAGCTTTGGCTCTGCTCTGCAGAGCCTGCAGCCTCCTCCGAAGGTGTAACTGTATTCCATCTTCACAGTCTGCCTTCGAGTGCCTGGCACTGTTCGGTCCTTTCGTCTGTAACTGGCTGCCTTCCTGCCTCAGGGCCTTTGCACTTGTTCCCCTCCGTCTGGGACACTGCCTCCTGGTTCTTCACGCCTGCCTGGTTCCTTTTCATCTGTGACATCTCAGTTCAAGTGCCACCCACTCAGTACTTTAACCCTGTCGTCTCCCCCAGATTGCATTCTGTCACATTATCCTATCTTTGGGCTTTCAATCTTTTCCCTGTCCCCCCCGCACTTTTTTCTGTGGTGTTGGAGTTGAACCTAGAGCCTCATGAATGCCAGTATCCTACCCCTGAGCCACATGCCCACCTTGGATAGTGTTTTTTAGGTGATACGGCATTGCCTTATATTTTTCACAGAAATGGATTTACCATAGTATGACTTTTTTTTTTTTAAGAAAAGCGCAAGGTACAGTATCAGTAGAACTGTGAGGAAGCTGGGTTTAGCCACAGGCATTAGCTGCATTCAAGACAGCGGCTTACGTTATGTTTGCAGGTAGCTGCCTGTTTGCCTTGCCAGTGGCCCGTGATGCCCATTTGTCTTTACCTGACTTTCAAAGCCCCTTCCTTCCCCCACATCTCAGCTCCAGCACCTTTCCTTGCAGGCCCTTCTAATATCCTGCACATACTTGGAGTATTTCCTGTACTTCTTTTTCTTTTTTTGTTTTTGTTGGTCGTGGGGCTTGAACTCTGGACCTGGGCGCTGTCCCTCAACTCTTCAGCTCAAGGCGAGCACTCCACCACTTGAGCCACAGCGCCACTTCCGGTTTTCTGAGTGCTTTATTGGAGATAAGAGTCTCACTGACTTTTTCTGCCCAAACTGGCTTTGAACCATGATCCTCAGATCTCAGCCTCTTGAGTGGCTAGGATGACCGGCATGAGCCACTGGCGCCTGGCTTTTCCTGTACCTCTTGAAAGATGTTGCTTAGAACTCTTTCTGCTCACCTCTCCCTTCCTGAAGCTGGAGAGATGCCTCGTGTACTTTTCTCTTTGTCTCCTTCATACTCCTGGGAGTATGAGCCGTGGTGTGGCTGTGGACACTAGCGGACGAGGGGGGGGGACCCCGAAGAGGCCGCTCAGACCCCTCCTGAGGGAGGCTTGTGTGGTGGCTGCAGCTTTGGTCAGACTGTTCTCCCATTCTGTGGTTGTTTTGTTACTCTCTTAAATACTGTTTTTTAATGTACAAAAGGTTATAATTTTGGTGAGGTCCAATTTACCTTTACTTGCTAATAATGCATCTGTGCTTTTGGTGTCATGTCCAATTAATCATTGCTTAAATCATATTTGTGTATGTGCGTGCGTGTGTGTGTGCGCGCGTGCGCACATCACATGCATATGCATGCACGCCAGTCCTGGGGCTTAAACTCAGCTCAGGGCCTGGGCTCTCTCTTCTTTTATGCTCAGAGATAGCACTCTACTACTTTGAGCCACAGCTCTACTTCCAGCTTTTGGTGGTTAATTGGAGATACAAGTCTTGGATTTTCCTGCCCAGGCTTACTTCAGACCATTATCCTCAAATCTCAGCCTCCTGAGTAGTTAGGATTACAGACTTGAGCCATCAGTGCTTGGCCAGTCTTTTTTTTTTGGGTCCGGTTATGGGGCCTGAACTCTGGGCCTGGGCGCTGTCCCTCAGCTCTTCAGCTCAAGGCTAGCACTCTACCACTTGAGACACAGCGCCACTTCCGGCTTTTTTCTTTCTGCTTATGTGGTGCTGAGGAATCGAACCCAGGGCCTCAGGCATGCAAGGCAAGCGCTCTACCACTGAGCCACCTTCCCAGCCCCCAGTCTTTTTT